CAGGTTGTCTGCTACAGCCTGGCCGATGGGAAGTTTCCCTTTCCCCTCATACTAGTTTTCCTCCAAAAGTGCGTGTGGATTGTCTTTCAAGCATGAGTCTTTTTGCTATAAAATCACATGTGACAGAAGGGGGATTAAAGAGGTCCTGGTCACAGGTCTTTTAAACTTGCCTTTACTTCTTACCTTGTTCAGGTGGCTTTAAAAAGGACCGGCTGCAGCCTGCTCAGCCTAGCCTAAGGTATTTTTGCTTCTAGTTTCAGACTTATGTTTCACTGAAGAAAAAAATAATGTATGTTGTACTTGTGCTACTTACAGTTAATGCCTTGTGATACTTTCTAGTGGAAGGGCCTATTCTGTTTTAGGAATTAGTCCAACCTCAATTTGAAAGGATGCTTAAATCTGAAGAAGCTAATAGTTTTTTTAAAGTACATTTCTCATCCCTCTAGCAGCAGGGGATTGTAGAAGTTGAAAACTCACTACTGCTGTCAGTTACAGCATTAGTTCCAAGTATCAGAAATCTCCCAACTCTGCAAGTGTCCCATGAAGGAATTAGTACAGTTACATATAAAAAAAATTCTTTTTCTTCAAAAAGCGTTGCAATTGCAAAGGCAAGCTGTCGTCAGCTGGAAAGCAACACCTGAATTAAGAGCCTTCCAATGGAGATGATGCTGTCCTAAGTTTGTAGCATTTCTGTAGGCTCAGTTTCAAAGGCTGTCAGCCAGGCAACTTAATAAAATTCTCTCTTCTGGGACAGGTTTTGCCTGAATTGTGGCAATATACACAGGAATGACACGCAAGGACGTCCTGACATAATTTATTTGCTTTTGTAGGCTATTTCAATGAGAAAAATCATCCAATTACTAATTATGATGGAGATGGCTAAATAATGTTTAGTGCTCTCTTGGGAACCGAGCTGTTACTGCTGAGCTATTTTCCATCTTTCTTAGCAGTCTTCCCTATCAAGTGTGAATTGATTACTAGAGTGTTAGGAGATTTTACAGTCCCTTATCTCCTGTTTGGGTGAGAGCACTGGATGTTATTTGCCTTGAAAGAGATAACAATCTTATTTTAAACAGGCATGAGGTGAATGGTCATGACGAGGATGGAAATGAGCTACAGACAACACCAGAGTTCAGAGCACATGTTGCGAAGAAACTGGGAGCAATGCTAGATGGGTATGGGCAAGCAATACTAAAAAAATTCTATGGGTCAACTACATGGATACTTTTGTGTGCTAAAACTAGGTAATTCCAGATCTGAGTGCAACCTGGATATGAAGGAGAAGTTGTTTCTTTTCTTGTCTCCTTCATGCCCATATTTAATGCAAACTTCCAGTATTCTGTAAACTAACCTGGCTGAGGTGCTGTGCCCTTCTGGTAAAGACTCCCAGTGCCTTTGCCTCTGTGGTGAATGGGTTGTGGGGAGGAAAAAGTAGAATTTGGGTGCCTTAGCGCTTTCATCATTTAAAGGCCAGCATGAGAGTCTTTCATTTATTCTTACAGCCTAAACCAATACCTGATTCAGGGCTGTGCTGGCAGTATGCCTCTGACTGGGCTCCCACTGTCTGTCTTTATTGTGTAAATATGGTCCTGGAGAACTAGAATTCCTGGCGTTTAGAGTTGACTTTAAGTCATTCTTGGTGGCATGCTTTGCTAAGGAGAGAAGGTATGGTCTGCTCTGAAAGCAGGGGGGTGAGACAGCTTCACTAAGAAAAAAGTAACAAGCTATAAAACATCTTCCTATAGTCTTGTTTCCTAGAAATACCCAACTTCAGCTCAGTTTGCACAAACCTGTTTTAAGATCTGACTGGGGCTTTCTGTTTAGTTTCATCACTGTCTTGAAGGACTCATCAGGACCTTCACAAACTTCTGTGCAACAGTCTGACTCTGCAGATGATGGTGAGTTCTAGTCACAGCCATTGTGGCTGTTTTGTGACATTGTTAGTTAAATGATGACCAGTGGGATGGATCCTGTCCATTGCCAATTGTTCACCCAACTGACTAATAAGCATTTGCAATAGAAGAATTTCTGTTGGCATCTGTGAAGGCTGTTACTTTGAAGCTGTGATCTCTGTGCCCTAACTTCCTCTCAGTCCCAAATAATTGCTGTCAAGCACTATAGCAATACAATAACAGCAGTGAGGCTCCCAGGGAAATTGCCATTGACTGCTTTCACCTCTGTTTTATACCGTGGCTAAAATTCCCTTTTATGTATTTTAGGTTTTCGCCTCTTCTCTTCTTCTGTCCCAGGAGACTCTGGGAAATCAGAGCCTTGCCCTGCAGCAAGGAGGAGACAGCCATCTAGCTCCAGGTGAGGTGTTGTCAGTGGCTTTGCTCCTGAAGTACTATTGCATCCCACATTTCAGAGGCAGCTGGGACTCTCGCAAGGGAATAGGAAGCTGAAGAGCTTGAGAAGTGTGTTATTTATGATTCATATATTTGACAAGAGCAGATTTGTTTGTTTGTTTGTTTGTTTCTTTTTTTAGTGCTGAGAGCTAGAAATGTTTGCGGGAAATGTTCTTTCCCCTCCTAGTATGTGTAAAGAACACCTCAGCCTTCAAACTGGTTAAATGCTAACTTGTATTGGAGTCCCAGAGCCACTGGGTGTTTATCAGGTGTTCTCACCTTAGGTTACTCTGCTGTTTGTGCTTCGGGTGAATTCAAAGCAAAAGTGTAACATAACTTGCTTTCGTTTTGTTACCTTTCCAGTGACATGGATAGTGACCAAGAGTGGCAAAAGTACCAGGAGGCTGCTGTGTCAGCCGCAGACGTTCTGAAGCAAAGTGCTTTTCCTGCACTGTCTTTGGATTCCAGCCAGGGTCAGAGTCAGGGTTATGTAGAGCACAGCCAGAAAAAAAAGAAGAAAAAGAAAATTAGGGGAGAGAACACTATTCAAGAGAAAATAATGGACCCAGCAGAGTGTGACCAGATCAGCAAAGATTTGCCACGGTTAGTGTCTGCAAATGGACAGCATGAGAGACAGGACAGCAATCATACAGAGAACTCAGTGTTGCCAGAAGTTGTGAAGAAGAAAAAGAAGAAGAAAAAAAGAGAATGAAGATTTAGCTCTGCAAACGGCAGGTGACTATGATGGATGAAGAATGCTGGGGGGGAAAAAAAAAAAAGGACAAAAACAGTTGCTGCAGATGAGGGAAAATTAATTGGCAAAGCTTCTGTTCTAAAACCTCAGTGGCCTGAGAGTCTGATTAAGTGACTTCCTACGTTGTTGGCATCCCCTGGGCAAGGGAACGTTGTTCTCCTAGCATAGCAGTTATCTATGCTGCTGCTTATGCAGACCCTAGTGTAAAAGGATTAAATACTGTGCACAGACCTGTGTGACAGAGGGATATAATGATAGCTGCATCCCTCCTGGTCTGTTCCTTCACATCATGAAAACAACTCTTGTGTCCTGGAGAAAGTATACAATTAATTGAATTTGGTTTACATGGCAACAGGTGATCAACTCCTTTTTCTCTTTGCCTCCTCCTAGATTCCTACTAAGAATAACTCCAGCCTGTAGGAGACTCATTTTATCAACAGCATCCTGTCAGATATCAGCCCCCCCCCCCTTTTTTTTTCCTGTGATCATTACAACAATCTGTTGTTGAAACCTGCCATGTTGCTAATCCCTCTGTAATCTGCACCTCTCCAGGGCCCCTGTATATAAACAGTGTGCAGTGAGCTTATTTCAGGGTGGTTATAAATAGGTAGTTCTGTTCAAGTTGTGTCCTTTGAAAATTTTTTTCATGTATAGTTTTTTTTATGGCATTTTTTGTTATTAAATTCTACTACACTATTAGTCTTATATACTTTGGCAGGTTTTGTACAACAGTGGCTTTCTTGCTGTATTCAGATGGCTCCCCCAGCAAAGATAAAGATGGCTGAAGATGGCTCTTCAGTTGCTTGGTGATCAGTGCTATGAGATTGCTACAGGAAGGACTTAAGCCTAACTGGAAAGTCACTGCATTTCAGTCCTTATTTGGGTTGATTATGACTTTTGTCTATGGGAAATACAGTGGGTTTTTGTAGTTTTCAGTATGGCTCTTAGTCCATTTATACTTCCGCTCCAGTATTTCAGGAAATGACCTGTTACTGGATAAATACTCTTCTGTTTTTAAGATTGTTGGGTTTCAGTAGCTCTAACTCATTTTTCCTGTTCAAGAGATCAGAAAGCCAGATTAGAGAAATCGAAATAGTGAACTGGTGCTCTTCAAGTGTGGGAAAACCCAAGATGCTTGCTTTCTTACTCTAAGATCCTTGCTGTTTTTTAATCAAGAAAACACAGTTGGCATCCAAAAATGGGAAGGCTAAGTAGAAAATTGGCTTGTAATCTAACTGAATGTGCCAGCAGAAGTTACTTGTCTTATGGCCAGTTAAAACTTCAGTATACTGAAGCTAGCACCTGGGGTTTCAAATGCATAGTGGTCTAAAAATTATCTTTTGACTTGTTTTATGATGATTATTTTTATGCTAACTGGAAGTTATATGTATTGGCAAATGATGTACATGGGAGATTAGGAAACAATTCTAGGATAAAATTCCTCAGATAATCTAGTTACTAAAATTAGTTTCTGATAGTTGATAATATCTAGAGGAAGGTCATATCAATACAAACTGTAATGGACATCTGCAATTTTGAAATTTCCAGATACAATAACTGAAGAGTTCGCTGTTGGGTGGCTTCTTTTTTAATTCCCCCTTATATCTCAACCTTTTAAAGAGTCTTGGGCACTTTCTCGTCTCAAAGATTTTCATCCATTTCACAGTTGAAAGGATAGCTCTGTTTTGGTCACAATAACAAAACCATGTTAACTGGGACTTTTTTCATGTCTGGCTAGTGATGTATCAGTGATGTGAAGTTTGGGAGTGAATAGAGAAGAGAGGAATAATTAGATGAGGAATTACATAAGTAGATCCTTAGGGCTAAACACCTTCACTTAGTGCAAATAAGACTCAGACTGCAGGGTAATTATCTGCATATCAAGAACTACAGAATCTACCCTACAGGGAAGCTAAGAATGAACTATGTTCTGTAAAATGAATCCAAGCTGACATCTTTATAGAGAACAACTGAAGAAACCGCTGCTCTTTGGAGCATGGGAACCTCCCAGGTGTTGTGCAGTGTCAGGGACCTGTGGAGAATGCCATCCCCCAGCTCATTTGGCGAGATGCATGAGATGAGAATCCACATGGTTAATGCAGAGAACTGGGATCTCCTTGCTGCTGTTAAACTTTAATTTCTGCATTTAAAACAAAGCAGAGCTATATCAAAAATAACCAAGCCATTTCCACTAGGATAGCATGATTTTAGAGCAGGTCATTTTAAACTGAGAACGTTTGGTATTTTTGTAGTTAATTAAAGGATTTGTAGCTTGTAGTCAGTGACCCCATACTGACAGGTTTGTGCCAAGCCATTCCTGAATCTGTTTCCTGGTGATTTTCATTGTAGTCAGGAACCAAGTTCTCTCACCCTTGCCTCCAAGATACTATTATTTCTCATAGTTCCCGTTGGCGCTTCTTTACAGCAAAGGAGGTCGGTGTTTTAAAGATGGTGTCCCTTCTTTGTCAGCTCAGCTTTGCTCTTTCCTGCATGGCTTAATCTGGTGTTGGCAGGTTTGTACAGGCCCAGCTCGATGAAGGCTGAGCAGAATGAAAGTCCCATCCATGCCCTGGCACTTTTGCCATATTGCATTCAGATCCCCGTCTTGATGGGATTCCTTCTTGGGCAGCCACAAAAGAACATCTGGTCATTCTAGGCTGGCTCATGGGGTTTGGATTTGCGTGGATTTTAGCAGTGCCAGCATCATCTTTCCATGGCTTCTGTCTTGAGCCTGAGACATCTTCTGTCACGGATGCAGCTGAGTAAGAGGTTTGTATGAGGCAGTAGGGGCTGGAAGTTGGCTGAGCACAGCAGCCTTTCCTTCCTGGGGAAGGCAGTGGTGACAATGATGGCAAATACAGTTGGAGTTGCGCCTGACAGGTTGGTCATGGCAGTTCACCCTTGACCTAGCTGTCTTGATTACTGAGTGGAGGATGCCATCTGTGTGGAGATGAAGGTCTCGATGACATTGTGAGTGGATGGCAGCAGCTGACTGTGGCTGTTGGTGGAGTCAGAGCTTTGGTACAGCACCAGGCTGCTGGAGGACACTGTCAAAGGCATAGGCAGAAGTTAAGTACAAATTCTTACTGGAGTCCCCTTATCGTGTGTGCACACACTCGCATTTTCATCATGACTAAAACCTCCTGGCATAGAGTCATAACTCCTTTTTCTATTTTGGGTGAATGGAGTTAAGTCCAGTTGGTGGCTGGTCACAAGCG